ACACATCAGGCAGACATGAAGCACACATCAGGCAGACGTGAGGCACACATCAGGCAGATAGGCACACATCAAGCAAACATCAGGCACACATCAGGCAGACATGAAGCACACATCAGGCAGACATCAGGCACACATCAGGCAGATAGGCACACATCAGGCAGACATGAAGCACACATCAGGCAGACATCAGGCACACATCAGGCAGATAGGCACACATCAGGCAGACATGAAGCACACATCAGGCAGACATGAAGCAGACATGGGGCAGACATGAGGCACACTTCAGGCAGACATAAGGCACGCATCAGGCAGATAGGCATACATCGAGCAAACACCAGGCATACATCAGGCAGACATGAAGCACACATCAGGCAGACATGAAGCACACATCAGGCAGACATGAAGCACACATCAGGCAGACATGAAGCACACATCAGGCAGACATAAGGCACTCATCGTATAGCCATGAGGCACACATCAAGCAGACAAGAGGCACACTTTAAGCAAACATCATGCAGACTTTAGGCACACATCAGGCAAACATAAGGCACATTTGAGGCAGGCATAAAGCATACTTGAGGCACACATCATGCAGACATGGGGCACACATCTGGTAGGTATAAATCACACATCAGGCAGACACCAGGCATACAGCCGGCAAAAAAAAAAAATACATAAAATGCAAGATCCTTTTCCGCACCGTAAGTATATGGTGCTATTAACATATTTTGAAAAGAATATCAGCACTAAATTGGCGATATCGACAATACCATGCTGGCAGCTTTTTGCTTCCCCTAACATTTCCTTGCACATTTAAACTAGTCCACACGTGAGCTACATTTAGACAGGAAGTCACCAAACCAGCTCATCGCTGTGATAATTTGGCTGCCATGGATATGAAGATGGCATACTACAAAGATCTGAGCATCAACAAGCTAGGCAATCAGAAACAAAGGAAACAAATGTAGAGCTCTTTATAAGAACGAATAAATGAGTGCAAACTATAGCTACAGTGACATGAAAACAGGAAAACTATCACAACAGCTGCGATTCCTGAAAACAACGCTCGATATGTTTAGGAGAGAGAAGGTCTGACTTGGTGAAATTATAAATAAAATATGAGTAGTATCAGAACTATATATTTATATATAAACAACAGCAGGTGAAAGGGTTCGAACATTCAGCCTGACTGCACTGCAATGTACAGATCATGCAGAAATCTAAATATATTCCGGCCATGCAAACGATTGACAACGAGAATAATAGAGTTTATAGGAACCCACCAGTACGAAGCAGACAAGCGGACATGCTCCCGTTGTTTATACTTCACTTAGAACGCTGAAGCACAATTAGTAAAGTCATGAAAAGAAAGACACACAGGTACGGGCAAATGTGTCTACCAAAATCTGTATCAACAAACATGTTTAAAATTAAAATGAAGACATCAAAACAAAGTCACAACATGAATATTTAGCCACAGAACGAAAAAACACAAACTCACTCTGAGAAGCATAATCAATAAGTATTCGGGAAGCGGAAGTGCTAAATGGAGGAACCGGAAGGTCGTTGAGAAACCAAAAAGTGAAGTAAACGCAATTCTGTCTAATGTCTTCAAGAGAATACTAATATGGTTACTACTACTTTCAGTTTGTTACAGAAAAAAAGGCAATCCTTCTTATGTCATTGGGCAATCAACATATGGAACTAGTAGACCAAACAGTCATCTGAGTTTAAATGTCTGGGAATAACATTAATCTTCTTCTTCTTTTGTCGTCTTACTGATACCAGGGTATTGACAAACCAGTGTCGTTGTTTTCTGTATTTGTCTTGTGCAGCTCGGTTGGCTTGAATGATGGATTTGTTAGTCTTTTTTTTTTTTTTTTTAGGTATTAGCTACATAATTCATCCATCTCTTTCTTGGTCTACCTCTCGCCTTCCTCCCAGATTTTCTGCTGTAAAATGTCTCATATGCAGTCTGGCCTGACTGCAATCTTAATATATGGCCGAACAATTTTATTCTTTGCCTATCAATATAATGCAGACATGATCTTATTCCAGCTTTCCATCTAATGCTGATGTTCGTAACACTGTCTCGTCTAGTGTTGTTAGTGACCTTGCGGAGACAGCGAATTTCACATGTGGTTATTTTCTATTCTAGTGACCCATTCACTGTCCATGTTTGGCACTAATAACATAAAGTGGGGATTAGGATGCTATTAATCATTTGCTGTTTTGCTGAAAGGGAGATATTTGGGTGTCTAAGAAGTGGGGCTAACTGCTAGGTGACAGCATTTGTCTTCTCTACTCTGGCTTCTATCTCTCTGTCGAGTCTGCCATTCTCCGTAAATATGCTTCCTAAATATTTGAATGCTCGTACTTGTTTGATTGTAGTACCGTTAACTTGAAAGTTCGTGATTTTATGTTTTCTCCCTATCCTCATAACCTCAGTTTTCGTGGTGTTTATTCTCATGTCATACTTGAGACTTGATCTAAGAAGTCAGAATAGTGTTGTCAATTATGTTATTGGTGGTGTATTAGACACTAATCATCTGCAAATTGAAGTTTATTGATTTCTTCAGTGTCTGTATTTGTCTCCTGTGATATTCTATCCATGTAAGTAATGAACAGCAACGTTAAGAGGACACATCCCTGTCTGACTCCTGATGAGATGGGAAGCCAGTCTGTCATTTCTTCTGCTGTTCTTACTGTGCACTATCTTGGTAAAGAGCTATGATGTTACCCAACAGTTGATCTTGAATACCATAATTTTCCATATTTTGCTTCTGTTCATTCGATCGAAAGCCTTCTCTTGATCTATAAATATAATGTTTTGACTTCGATCATATTCAATAGACTGCTCGCATATCTGCCTTAAAGAAAATATTGCATCTGTACAGCTCTTTCCGTTCTTAAAACCGACCTGTCTCTTACTTAACTGGTCTCTGGAACTGGTCGAGCTCTGAGTTCCAAAAAATGTTTGCAAACATCTTTCCAGTATGGCTCAGGACGGATATGCCTCTGTGTGTTTCACAGTCTCTTTTGTCCCCTTTGTTCAAGTGGGAACAATGATTGCTCTCTACCAGTCACTTTGAACTTTTCGTGACTTCCAAGCTATGTTGAAGATTCTGGTCAACAAAGCTGTTGCTAACAACATTAATCAAAGATGGTCAATTGGATGAAGAAGTAAACATCCTATGCAGTAATTCAAGGACACCCCCCCCCCCCCCCCCCCCCCCCCCCCCCCAATCACCATTTTTTTAAAAACATTTAAAGACCCTTCCAGTCAGCAACGAGACACCTCAGATATATATTTGTCGCCACCATGTTCTCCCAGTGCGAGACACGGACAGAAACTACAAACCAGAAAAGAATATAAGTAACCATGGAAATGAGATGTATCAGAAAGGCTGCAGGAATGACCATAAGAAATCGAACCTTGGCTAAAACTATAAGATAAATAGTCGGCACAGAAACAATACTAAACTACATACAAACACAACTTTAAAAAATGGTTTGTTCAGCAATAGAGAATGTCATGTGACCCGTACTGTACCATGCATTCAACAACAACAACAACATCAACAACACCAACAACAACAACAACAACACCAACAATAACAACAAAAGAGGAGATGAGGTGAGGCACGAGGTAGATCAAGAACACAATTAAAATATAATATGAGAGACTCTAGAACATATGGCGTTTTTATGTTTGAGGCGGCCACAAGAGAAAGAACTAGAACCTTATATCTCCATTGACACTCTAAGCTATTGAGAGAAATATAGTGAAGAAGAAGAAGAAGAAGAAGAAGAAGAAGAAGAAGAAGAAGAAGAAGAAGAAGAAGAAGAAGAAGAAGAAGAAGAAGAAGAAGAAGAAGAAGAAGAAGAAGAAGAAGAAGAAGAAGAAGAAGAAGAAGAAGAAGAAGAAGAAGAAGAAGAAGAAGAAGAAGAAGAGAAGAAGAAGAAGAAGAAGAAGAAGAAGAAGAAGAAGAAGAAGAAGAAGAAGAAGAAGAAAGAAGAAAGAAGAAGAAAAAGAAAAAAGAAGAAGAAGAAGAAGAAGAAGAAGAAGAAGAAGAAGAAGAAGAAGAAGAAGAAGAAGAAGAAGAAAAGAGAAGAAGAAGAAGAAGAAGAAGAAGAAGAAGAAGAAGAAGAAGAAAAGAAGAAGAAGAAGAAGAAGAAGAAGAAGAAGAAGAAGAAGAAGAAGAAGAAGAAAGAAGAGAAAAAAGAAGAAGAAGAAGAAGAAGAAGAAGAAGAAGAAGAAGAAGAAGAAGAAGAAGAAGAAGAAAGAAGAAAGAAGAAGAAGAAAGAAGAAGAAGAAGAAAGAAGAAGAAGAAGAAGAAGAAGAAGAAGAAGAAGAAGAAAAAAGAAGAAGAAGAAGAAGAAGAAGAAGAAGAAGAAGAAGAAGAAGAAGAAGAAGAAGAAGAAGAAGAAGAAGAAGAAGAAGAAGAAGAAGAAGAAGAAGAAGAAGAAGAAGAAGAAGAAGAAGACGAAGAAGAAGAAAGAAGACGAAGAAGAAGAAGAAAAAGAAGAAGAAGAAGAAGAAGAAGAAGAAGAAGAAGAAGAAGAAGAAGAAGAAGAAGAAGAAGAAGAAGAAGAAGAAGAAGAAGAAGAAGAAGAAGAAGAAGAAGAAGAAGAAGAAGACGAAAAAGAACCAACAACAACAACAACAACAACAATCAAGAAAAAGAAGAAGAACATGAAGAATAAGACGGCGAAGAGTTGGCACTCATTGGTTGATGTGGTAAGCCGCCACTACTTCCTAGAAGATTTCCATGTATCCATTTTCCTATAGGTCGACCTGAGGGCATAAGTAATTTTTGAAGAAGGCAAAAACAAATGTCAGGCTTTGTTCGGACTTGAACCTATGATCTTCGGATTCGCAGGCTAGCGTCTAGCCTCTGTACCATAGCAACTCCCGATACACCTGTAAGTACCAATCAGTGCATGTGAATTCTTTTATCAGATTTATCATGCTTTTTTTTTTCCTTTCTTTCTTTCAGGGAGCTAGTCTCAACAGCCAAAGTAGATCGGCATCCGAGGAGGACAGAGGGGAGGGAGGTGAATCCAGCGTGTGGAAGAATGTGAAGTCTATCGCCAGTATGCTCATTGAGGACCCCGAGGTGGTGGAGCAGGGAGCTGCCGGCCCTTACGTGGAAGGTGTGGATTACAAACTCGGTAGTCTGCAACTCGGACTCATATACGACTTTCAAACTCTAACCTTGACATTGAGGATTATCAAGGCCAAGGACTTGCCGGCCAAGGATGTCACAGGCACCAGTGACCCTTATGTGAAAATTATGCTTCTGCCCGACAAGAAACACAAACTGTTGACAAAGGTTAAGAAAAAGAACCTCAACCCACATTGGAATGAATGTTTTCTCTTTGAAGGTAAGCCTCTTTGTGAGTTGTCTGATTGATTTTTCGATTGATCGATTGAGAATTATCCTTCAGATTAAGTTTGGAAACAATCAAGAAAGATGAACATATGTACAAGACTAGCATATGCAACAGTTTGTGCAATCCATGTGAACAGTGGGAGTCGCCGTGGTGAAGCGGCTAGACGCTCGCCGCGGATCGGAAGCTCGTGGCTTCGCTCCCTGTCGGAGCCGTACTTTTTTTTTTTTTAAAGAACTTAACTCCCACGTCACCTCAGCCTTGAGTGGGTACCGGGTGCAGTCCCGGAAAGTAAAGGCGGCCGGCGGGATGCTGACCACATCACCCATCTTGTGTCGATTGGTCTATAAAATATAGGTCTAAAAAATGGTCCTTTACTTAGTTTACATGTAGACAGTACAGATCAGTCAGTGGTGTTTGATTCCATTTGATTAGTTAATATAAAGTAAAAGACCCTTGTCCATCCCTTCAGGCCTATTTGGCATACAATGTTGGACCTATATTTTATTGCCCAGTCGCACAAAGTGAGTTATGTGGTCAAAGGCATACCGGCCGTCTTTACTTCCCATTACTTAATTTAGTACCCATTTTAGATTGGGTCTACCTGCGAGTCAACGACATTTTTAAGAGAATTCGGCTGTGTGCAGATTTGAACCTACAACCCTTGGGCTCCAGGCTAGTTGTTACACTACAGCGGCTCCCAGATTTGAAGAGTAGCTTTAGCTAAATACTGTATTACCTGTGTACGTGTCTGTCTGTCAGCTTCTCACTTTGTCTGTCTATCATTCACTGGTATGCTCTTTCATATCGCCTGAGCCCTTCTGTATAGAAATAACAGCTTAATTGTTTTTCCCTTTCTCATATTTTCTTCCTTCTTCTCCTACTTCACCATGTTCATCACCACAATCATTTCCTCCTGCTCCACCCACGCCTTAGTTCCTCCTTCCCCCGTCCTTTTTTTCCCGCAGTAGGGCATATACCCTAGCCTTCAGTGTTAACTTTTACAGATAAAACATTTTACTGCATGAAGTAGCCAACCCCTTTCTACGTCGCCACTTAGACATGCTTATCCTGCGCGTTGGAGGTATATAGGCTGACCGTCATTTCATTGAACGAAGTTTTTTCGTCAGGGACACTAGATGAGTATCATTTATTCTATACATTAGAGTCCTATGTAGTCACTTCATAGTTAGAGCCTATTTGTGTATGTGTACTGTGTTGTCCTTTATGTGCTGATGAAGGCTAAGCGCCGCAACGTCCTTTGTTTGTTTATTGTGATCGATTTTGTAAAGCTAACATAAACTAATTGTTGTTTCTTACCAACTTTTTCTCTTTCCTATAATTTTCTACTCCTTATAAAAACTTATAAGGATGTAGTGTTACCATTCCTTGTTTTCCTCAAGGCCCGAAAACACAATGGCGACTGACCAACTTCTCAGTAATAGCGGTTACCTTAAGACGCCACCGCAGGCAGTTCATCAGACGAGATCATTTTACTATTGACCTTCCCCACATCACGCCTACGGTTTTTTTTTCTCTATCGTTAGCAACCCGAAGGTCGCCGCACCAACAGCCATCTGGCTACTCCAGGCAAAGTGGTCATCAGTCCTAGGATAGAAGGTGGACATCCTGCAGTCTGTCTTCCTAATTAGGACATTTCCTGGTGAGAAAAGGTCACAACACTGGGTTTCATATATTTTTATTATGTTGTTAAGAAACCAGAAAACGTGTTCTTCTAACACTGTGCTGATCTAGCCTCCTGCTGATTAGAGAACTGACATTACAGCGGGCTGGGCTTTCCATTAAGTGATATGTTCTTACTTTCAGCAGCCAACGAACAATTCTAATCCAGAAGCTACCAGTGGCAGTCTGCATGCTCTTTTCTCTAAGTAATAAGTTGCTAAACTCCACCCGCTGCACCATTCTCTATGGACCCCAATCAATGATCTGTTCGTGCTTCTGCGTTGTTGACTAGCTGCACGTCTTCTTCTTTTTTCTTTCTTCTTCTTCTTCTTCGTCGTCGTCGTCGTTGTCGTCTTCTTCTTTTTCTTCTTCTTCTTCTTCTTCTTCTTCTTTTTCTTCTTCTTCTCCTCCCTCTCCTCCTCCTCCTCCTTCTTCTTCTTCTTCTTCTTCTTCTTCTTCTTCTTCTTCTTCTTCTTCTTCTTCTTCTTCTTCTTCTTCTTCTTCTTCTTCTTCTTCTTCTTCTTCTTTTTCTTCTTCTTCTTCTTTTTCTTCTTCTTCTTTTTTTTTTTTCTTCTTTTTCTTCTTCTTCTTCTTCTTCTTCTTCTTCTTTTTCTTCTTCTTCTTCTTCTTCTTCTTCTTCTTCTTCTTCTTCTTCTTCTTCTTCTTCTTCTTCTTCTTCTTCTTCTTCTTCTTCTTCTTCTTCTTCTTCTTCTTCTTCCTCTTCTTCTTCTTCTTCTTCTTTCTCTCTTCTTCTTCTTCTTCTTCTTCTTCTTCTTCTTCTTCTTCTTCTTCTTCTTCTTCTTCTTTCTTCTTTCTTCTTCTTCTTCTTCTTCTTCTTCTTCTTCTTCTTCTTCTTCTTCTTCTTCTTCTTCTTCTTCTTCTTCTTCTTCTTCTTCTTCTTCTTCTTCTTCTTCTTCTTCTTCTTCTTCTTCGTCATCGTCGTTGTCGTCTTCTTCTTCTTCTTCGGTTGGTTCTTTGTCTCTCAGGCAGATACACGCCGATCTCGAAAGAAACACTTATAATTAGTCTCCTTTTGAGTCATGTTTGTTAGGGATTCAGCAGTGGACGATACCCAGCTTGTCTTGCATTTTTTCACCTATTTGTGCATCACTGCCAGTATTTCTGCCTGTTCTAGCTCCTTTCTCTCTCGATTCAGCAGTTCGTGAAGAGGGAGTGAGGAGGAGACGACGAGGGAATGGGGAGAGAAGGCATAGAAAGAGGAGGGCGGGTGCTAGGAGAACAAACCTAAAAGCGGAGAGATTGAGCTTTAATCATGTAAGAGTAGGATACTGGAACTGTCGGAGTGCTAGGCAGAGAGGTCCTGTACTGGAGAGGTTGATTTTTGATTTTGATGCCATCATGCTCCAGGGGCTAAATACAGACAGATATCATTGCCCTGGGTACGTCAGTTATGTATGGACAGGAGAGACATGGACAAGGTCTGGTTTTGAAGGAGGGAGTGAAGCATGTGGTGCTTGACTTGAGCCAGTGGAACCACACCGGAAGAGAGGTTCAAGAGATACAGGTGGAGATTGGTGGCTTAAGTTGGAACATCATAAATATATATGACACGGTAAACTGTTTTGTCAGAAGTGAACAATGGGGCTGGCGAAATTGGAGGAGTTACATGGTGATAGGTTACTCATATATGGCGATTTCAACGCGAGGAACAGAGAATGGAACAACAGTGGAGAAAACCAACAGAGAATTGCTCTTGCAGAGGCCATGGTTGACTCCGATATGGAATGCATCAATGATGGGAGGCCGACTAGAATGGCAATGAGGTCTGGAGATGTAGACACAGCCATTGACTTGACATTTGTCTCTCAGTCGTCGGTTTTAGATGTTAAATGGACTGTCCTGAATGACCATGGGAGTGATCACCTACCATGTTCAGTCTTGATTTTCTAAACTCAGTAAGGTAAGGTTGAGAGAGCACGCAAGACCTTCCGGTATAAGTGGACCAACAACCTACTTGGACGCCTCAGACAGGGAGCATGCAACAGAACTGCCAGAACTAATTTTCTACAGCCCCCATTGTGGACTCCAGATGTAGAACAGGCGTGGAAGGCAAAGAGAGCCGCAGTGAAGCAGCTAAAAAAAGTACGACAGACACCCTCAAGCTCACAAGAGCAAGTGGAGATGGCGGAGAATGTGAAAAAAGATAAGGTGGAGGTTTTCAAGAACTGTGCTGCAGGGACCAAAAGAGCAAAGTATGAAACTTTTGTGAATGATATGGGAGGCGATAATACATTAGGGAAATTCTGGAAACTGCAAAGGCAGATGCAAAGAAAATATCTGCCTATGACAGTCGAAACAATTTGTAGAAACGATGGTGTGCGTTTGACAACAGACAAGGAGAAAAAAGGGAGGGGTGGGGGGTGGGGTGGGGTGCTTTTCTCCATAGCTCAGACAGATCATAATGATGAAGACATTAGGGATGCAGTTAGAAAGGACTTAGCTGGCACCTTGAAGAAAATGCATTATGAAGACATGATACAAATGGAAGATATCAAACAAATTTTGAAAAAAGCAAAAGACAATGCTCCAGGGCCTGATGGAGTCAGGTATTGTGACATGAAGGCCTCGAGCGTTGTAGACCTGGCAGAGATGGCCGACTGTTTTAACCAGAGCATAAAGACAGCATCAACACCGCTATCTAATCCCACTACCAAACCCTTTTAAAGATCATTCTAAGCTCAGTGGTTTTAGAATCAACACCTTTCAAAACACATTTAGGAAGGTCTTGGAGATTTCCTGTAAAGCTGCAAGAATTTTTGGAAAGGGGGAAGCTTCTCCCAAGAGGTCTGGGAAGCTACAGGCCAGGAAAGGACACATGGGCAAATGAGGCCACTTTTGCTTTTGACGTCTATGAAGGGTACCAGAACAGACAGGAAACTATGGCGGTAGGACTCGATTTCGAGGAGGATTATAACAGAGTGAGATACGACATCTTAATGACTGCACTGAAGGAGAAGGAGTCAGTCCATGGCTGGTGAACTGGGTTGCAGCTGTCCTGTATTCACGTCAGGTTGCTCTCCGTCTGGGCTCATGAACCTCAGAACCATGCACTTTGGCCCCAGGACTGCCACAGGGATCCGCCGTCTCGCCTGTGCTTTTTTAACGTGTATACGAGGTGGAAATTCAGCAATTAATTCAAGATAATGCTCGATCAGAGGATTTGATCATTTACACAGACGGTTCAGTGTCAAGAGGCAAAAGAAGTGCCTAAGGCTTCTTATCAAAAGTTAATGGCCGACGTTTGGTGCAGGAGAGTCTAGCATATGATACCACAACATTCAGCTTAAGAA